TCTGGCAAGCTAGCCTCACGTCAACTCAATGAGCACTCAAGAGCTACGTCATTCTCAGCCCATGCTACCCAGTCACGAAGCAATTAATCGTAGCTCAGCCCCAGGAAGCCGGCCTGACCACGGCCCCAGCGGCTGGCCGGGAAGGCGCACTCCTAAAGCTACCGAAACCAGCCACTTCCAAGTCCCTCCTCAGTAAGCGTGAACGTCAGAACTAAACATGTACCCGTTGTCATAATGCCAGCCTCACAGCTACAAACACGAGAGCAGGCATCCTACCCGCCTTGCTTACCGCTGCATCCCCAGAGGTTAACACGGTGCTTGAACACCTAGAACTCCTGGACTCTGCTGGAGAGTCAATGGGATCTCAGCAGACTGTTTTCACCGAACTCTCTTCTCAACCTCTTACTCGGTGGCAGACGTTTCAGTCCTCACTACCCATTATTTCAAGTGGCAATTTCATACCGTCTGATGCTGGCTTTGTGGGACTCCACGCGTGACAAGGCCGATAAGGAGGCTCGGTCGTGGCAACCGACAATGCTCCAGCAATCCGTTTGTTCATGTAACAGTTCAGGGACAGGGGCACGACCAGAGAGGACACTCACGAGATGTAGCCGATGTCAGAAACGTGACATCTGACCTGGTTCCCTAACATGTAAGGGGCTGAATTCAGGGACCCTCACAGTCAGAACTATGTCATCCAAAGACACTGGGCTTCCCGCTTAGAAAGCGCTTGCTTCCTTCTCCACACGGCTGTGCTGGCTTCCAGGGAGGCCCCTGATTTCTCTCTAAGCCCCCCTCTGCTGGAAGTCTGCACACTGTGGACATGGGGGCCTCAGTAAGTCCCAAGTGGCCTCGGTGAGAAGCCACTTACAGGTCTGTCGAAGGCAAACGGCAGCTGCTGGGGCGGGCCACCTCCCTACTTGCAACAGGTGAATGTAAGACATAAAGAAGGAAAACCAAAGTGTCCATGTGCCACTAACTCCGCCTGAAAACAGATGCCCACCACAGGCAGGCAAGTCACAGGTTTCTTCCTCGAGTGGTATCATGTGACAACAGCAGGTTATGCTTTACTTAAATTGATGACAAACTTCTAAGTAGAAGTAATGTCACTAATCCAGATATTTCTCCCCTTCAGCCGTGGGCTCGTCTTCCTGGGCCACTAACCAGCCACGAGGCTCCAGGCATCCACAAGTACTCTGGGCCCCATGAAATAAGACTGCGAGCATGAGTGAGGGTCCCTGCGGAGCCGCCCTGCTGTTATCAGTGAAGCTTAATTTTAACGGAGCGTTAAGATCCCCTTATCTTTTGACTACATATAAACCATCTCTCAAAACGCCCAGGAGAAAGAGGCCTTGAAAGCTCTGCTGAATCTTCACTGGTCACCACCACGACTTTAACTGTCCACCTCTGCAAGAGCCCTGAGGCAAAGAGCTCCTGTGTCACCATTTGCCACTCTGATGTCACCACAGATCCCATCACTAGGACAAGGTTCACGTCAGCTTTGCAAGTCTCACTGCTACTTACAGCGAGAGCCACAGCCATAGAACTACCTGGGAGATCTGGCTCCCAGCACGAACAACTAAAACCACGACCAGACTGCTTTTTCTGCAAACGCTGAAAGAGGAAGTAAAGCACAGGGAGGGGAGGGCTGATGAGAAAAAGTAAGAAACCAAACTTCTCAAACACGCATTGTAGTGGTTTGTTAAACAGTTACCTTGTGCCACAAGTGCTCTGTTTACGAGGACCATGAAAGTGCTTTCTCTTTTTTTTCCCTGTGGGAGAAGCAATGAAGGGAATGAAAGGGTTCATTTTAGTGCCATATTCACATAAGGCTGATTTGTAAAAGCTCAGTCCAGCTGAATATATTTACAGCCACCACCGGTCCACAAAACCTCAGTTGAGAAGCCTAATTGAGATTCTCCAGGGGAAGGCCCCGTCTTTCTCGTTGCAGGACGTCTCATTAGGACTCCGCGCTGCCCGCTTCTCTAGCACGCGGAGTCCGACTGCGCTTGGCCGGGGCTCACGCCTTGTGAATTGCCAGCAGACTCTCATCACCATCTCTGTAAGGTCGCTGATTTTGTCTCACAGGCCCTTTGCTTTTTGTTTTGTTTTTGTTTCAGACTAAAGTTGCGTTTAACAGGGCTGTATTAGTTATACTGGGATACTGTTAAAAACAAAAATAAAAACAGCAAGGTGCCCCGCCTCCAGGATTGTAACATACAGGCTGAACTTGGGACTCAGAACACCTTCTGTCTCAAACCAGAGCCTGCTTCCTGTAAGAGGATTGTCAGAGCTGATGGCTGGAGTTCAGACACCAGAAAACTCAGTAAAATCTTACTTTCTACCCGTTTTCCACGTCTATAGACACGCAGTATTTGAGCGGTTGGCTTTTATTAGACCAGTGAGGGTGTGACGCCCATCTCACTATTTTTATTTCCTTCTTTATTAAATGATATGTTGTAGGCTTCGCTGTGTATTTTTTTTAATGCCTGAAGATGTTGGAGAAATTAGTGTCATGGGAAACTACACGTTTACTTTAAACATTTAATTAGAAGCTTCTCCCATGAGCTGGGAAAAAAATCTCCTGGCACAATTATGAAATAATTTTTTTCCTCTCCCTGCTATCTTAATAGCTGGTGTTACAGGCTTACTTACAAAAGACCGTGGGATAAAATCAAAGTAGTAAGCAGGTCCCCGGGTATCTGCTATTATTGTTTTATTGATGAGTTTTCATTTGTACGTAAGCAGTGACACACACATTCACACAAACACGTGTGTGTACATGTACATAACACAACTGCAAGGCCCACAGTTTGGCTGAATTATTCCATTCATGCTTTTCACATAAGAAAAAAAAAAACTACAGATTTGCCTCTAACTAAAAGGTAATACTGGGTTTTTTTTTTCCCAGAGATACGTCATAATTGACTTCTTCTACAGTAAAAGGTAAAATTTCTTACTGTTGTGAAATTTAAACAGTATTTTCCTTCCATTGGAATATAATAACATACTTGAATATATTTTTTTCTTTGTATTTCTTATGACTTTTTTTATGACATTCTGAAGGAAGGCCTATTTAGTAAATAAAATTCCACTGACAATTTATTTCAGCCTTTAATATATTTTCTACTAAAAACCAAGCTGTCAAGACAGGAAAATATGACTGGTTTTGTTATTACAAAACAACAAGTGAGAATGTGTAATTCACAAAGGATGGAAACACAAGACACTGATCTCACTGTACTCACAGTATTACACCAAGCTGATCAGCTGTGGACTAATAAAACGTTTAAGACTTCACATACACGTATGTATATTTTGAAACAAGAAACACAGGACAATTTTCATCTTTGATACGTCCGTAACTACCAAGAGAAAGGACATCACTGATGTGAGTCTAGCGTTTGCTGGCACACAACCGCTGCAGAGGCCAGGTCCAAAGCACACTGTCACGTTGTCAAGGGCACCTTTAGGCAGACACAGACATTCTCGCTTGGGGGCTTTTTCCCCCTGCCCCAAACAATCTGCTTCCCCATAGCGGTCAAGTAGCTTGGTTTGTTATCAATTAAACAAGATCACAACAACAAACAATACTTTCACCACAAAACTCAGGTAAGAGGTTTTCATACAAAAAATGTTTGTTCCCAAGGAAGTCAATCTTCAAATTATAAATGCAATCCTAAGAAAAAGAGTCTTGGTTACAAATCATTCATGTTCACAAATTGATGAAGAAATGAGAAGTGAAGGGGTGGGGAGGGGGGTGGGTGGAGGAGGTACTGGCTTGGCAGGGAGCAGAAATGCTATGAAATGAGGAAAATATATTTGCCACAGGAAATAATGGGTTCAGCTGATTTTTTTAAAATGAGGTATTGTAATTGTGTGCCAGTAAATGCAAAAACAAAACAAAACTAAAAACCAAAATGCACATTCCCAATGGAAAAATCTCTAAACCTCTTATAGTTCTTTATTCAGATTAGACATTGCATATACAGCAGTTAACCTAGAAAAATACATTTTAAAAAATCTTCAGCAGACCATGCTCTCTGTAACAAAACCTTTCAAAACCCTGTTTTATTATACAAACCAATCTACATTAGTAATGTAAAAAGAAATTCCCCAATTTAGTAATGTCATCTTTCCATCTGACATCCATCTAATTTACATCTGGGTTTCCACTATTCATACTGCAGAGTTAGAATTCTGTAATAAATTTTTTCTAAGGTATTCTGTACATATTAAATAATCTAAAAGGCTCCTCTTGTAGTGCATTTGCCATTTAGCAAGTCTACTCAGTATTTTTCCAGTACCATTTGGATTACAGTGATTTGCCTGTAAATGTAATTAAAATCTAAAAGTGCACACAGTTAACTTTCTCAAATAACGGCCTATTTCTGGAGGAAACCTAATATTCACGGAGAAGATTACCGATACCGTGATTAGAAACGTAGGGTTAGAATGTTCTCTGAGACTATACAACACAGGTATGTACATAAGCCGAGGACAGCAGTCTTCAGCCGGTATTTACATCGAACAACGTTGGTTTCCACAGGGTCATACCGAGAATGCAGCATGGTACTGGACAGTTAGGGTTGTTAGCTGCAAGTCAGTGTAGCCCAGACAGCCCCCAAGCGCCTGCCCGGGCGTGTGCTAAGCTAAACTCCAGTACGTCACAGTGTTGTAAGTACTATTAGTGTGCTGCCCGAACAAGCACCCAGGACGCCCCACAAGGCTGCTGTGCCCCAGGGGAGCAGGCAGTGAGCCTCCGGTGGGGGGGCGGGGGGGGGCCTGAGCTGTGAGATTCCAGCGCTTAGAGCCCAGGGCGCGTGGGGAACTGGCGAGACAAACGCATGGGTGTCAGGACAGATATGCTCCATTTCGTCTCAAACGCCCAGGCGCGCTTCCAGTATAAGACAGTAGGTCTTGGTCTGTCGGGCGATGAACCTATCGAATCATGAGAAGAAATTCTACATTATCCAGTTTGAGGGGGAAAAAATGTAGTATTCTCACCAAATTATCCAGTGTATATGACTGGTCAGAATTGCAAGTTTTGACTTTTGCTGAAATTCAGAGTAGGAAATGCAAACATTCGGGATAAAGTTATTTCAAAATCACACACGGCTCTCTCAACTTGCAACAAGGCAGCAAATGCGAGGGCCTAACACACATCCGGACGCTCCCCTTCCCTTCTGATCCCTCAAAAAAGTGCAAAATCAACGAGTCACTGCTTGGTCCAAAAATAAAACACATCAGGTATAAGGATCTGAAATCTGAAGCAATCTGGCTTCTGTTCCACAGGTCGTCCTCAGTAAGAATCAGCGTCCGAAGATGGAACCTACTTCCAGGAGAATGAGCTCTACGATCTGATTCTGGTAGACGGTGTGGACCGCGATGTTACCAGTCTCCTTCTCTGGCTTTAACAGAGTGGGGCCAAAAACAATCGCTATACTTTGATAGGTCATTCGGTTTTTTTCTCCGTTTTCTATAACCCTAAGGGTGAAAAAATTGTTAAAAGAGAAAATAAAAAATACGGAAAAATCCTTCAAACAGTGTTATAAAGCTTACATTTAGAAAAGAGAAATAATGCTCATTTTCCTAAGGTTCTCCTGAACCAAGGAGAACCAAGTGTGAGTGTCATGTGAAGCTGCCTTTGGATAAGCACAGCTGAAAGGCATAATCATACAGAGTCTAACACACTTTGGATGTGCGATATTTCAGCTTCGTGTTTAAAATGAGATGTAGACTTGAATACGAGTTACAATTCAGGAAATAGTGACTCCTCCACTAGGCAGACGGGGAAAATATCATGAGGGCACAGAGATGAAACTTTCAGTTTTACTCGTTTTATGCTTTTTTAAAAAAATCTCTCTTGCTGTGATCATTTACTTTAGTGTTCTTTCTGTCAGAGGCTTTTAGTGAATCTGTAGTAACTTACGCCAATCACGGCTTTACTTTAACTGAATATTCCTCACTTAGTAACCAACCGCATCTTCCTATAATTAACTTTAGCAACAATGTCTGAACACTCACTGTGCGCTAGGCAGTCTATAAATGTGCTTCACATGTAAAGTCTACTTGAATGTATTCTTCATACCAAACCATTTTCCCCACGAGAAACTGGTGCACAGAGACGTTCTCTCTCACGTTACAGAGGCAAAGAGACTCAGGTCTGTGCGGCCCTGGCCCTGGGGGCCCACAGCACCTCTCATATCCATGCAGTCCTGTCCCCTCTGCCACCAACTATTCCCACCTCTGTGGTGACTCTGACCTTTTGAGATGTCTGAACAGAACCTGCATTGTGTCCTGGTTTGGCTTTGGCAACTGTCTGATTAGGTCCTTCACAGCAGAGACGCGCTGTCTTGGTTCTTGTTCTGAGAAAAAGACAGTAACTGGAGATTTTGCACAGAACTGTCATTAGTTTGGAACCTAGCATTTGGTGATGCACAGTGACATCTGGTGGTCACATTTAAAATTTCTGGAGTAATTTGGAAAAAGCTTATTTAAATTATGTTCAAACAGAATTTGTAGCAGCTTATTCTGCACAGATTTCAACATCTAGGGGAAAAACTGAGTGGAATTACATACTTACTAATCGCATTAACAAAATCATTAAAATGATTAAATGTAAAGAGAGGTTCCGGTAATTCTCGGAAAAACATTTTGAGTGCTCCAGTGACGACGTGAATATCTTCCCATTTGCTATCCCTCAAGTCCAGCTTCTCATCTGGAAAACAGTAGGAACAGGACATTTTCTGAAGTTGTTTAAAATCAATTCTAACAGGATGAGTGCTTCTTTTGTACGTAACTACGGGGAATGTGATCTCACCATGGTTGACGGCGAATCTCAGCTTCTGGATCACTGCCAGGTTGCCGCTAACTCTGTAAATCCCATCAACATCTAAACCTAGGCGACAAATAATAATTTTATGTTTAAAGTGCTTGCTGGAACCTATGGTGAAAAAGAACATGAAAATAACATGAGCATACGTATGTTCACGTGTGGCTGAAGCATTGTGCTGTAACCAGAAACTGACACAACACTGTAAACTGATTGTACTTCCATAAAAATATACATATATAAAAAAAGCATTCGTTGGTCTCTTCTAAAGAATATTTCCTGTTTTAGAATTTTTATTTATTAACATTAGCCTAAAGTCAAATGGCACTCTTTTCCCCTAAATGGCTTTTTATGGGCTCTTGGCAGGAAGAGAGGGGTGGAGGCGCACCCTCAACTGTTTCATAAACAGCAACAAGGACTTCCGGGCAAGA